TTTCAGATAAAAAAGTAGAAGAAAAAAAATACAATGTTTTTAAAAAAGCGAATTTAAGGGCAGTAGAGCGGAAGTTAAAGAGTGAAGGAACAAGAGCCACTACACTGCCACGCGCAGCGACAATCTTAACGAACACCTGCTGCTGCTAGCAGAGCCGACAAATTCTGCTCCGGAACAAGGTGCACAGGATGAGTAGTCGTTTCGACAAAACGCACTTTGCATTATCCAAACGTATACGGCTTTTCGCTTAGAATAAGCGAAACGCAGAGGCAAGTTGCGCCAGTCGCATAGGCGGATCCAAGACAGTTTCCTGGGTGGGAGGGAGGGGGGACAGGAGGCGACGGGGGTGTGGAAGAGTTTTCTTCAGGTTTAGCTTTAAACCAAACTTTTGTTGCACTGATGCTTGCACCGCTGCCTCACCCCCTTTGGATCCGCCTATGGTTAGTCGAAAAGTGCTAGCTGTGTGAAAAGTACTGCGGCAGGGAGGCTAATTTGACAATCTGTACGGGAAGAAGAATGAAAGAGGCTCCAGATTCTCAGTCCTGCTGTCAGCTGAAGCGTCTAACATTCGACCACCAGCAAACATCATATATTACGTAGATTTGAAGTTGATCAGCTACTGTTACACAGTGCACTCTGCCGAAGAGCAGCGCGGTACAACCCTAATTTTTTGTTGGAAGCGTAACTCGGTGGGATCTGCATATACATATACTTTTTTTAGGCGTTTTTGCATATGTGTAAATTGCAAAAACGCATATTGGGAAAAGGCTGTATGTATGTGTGTGTGTGTGTCTGTGTGTTCGCACTTTTTGTCACCCACTTTCAACTCGAGAACCAGAAAAGCTAGAACACTGGAACTTTAAAAGTATGTGTCCATATCATGCGCGACCCTCCTGTTTTAATTTCATCCCACGCGGACGCCTAGGTGCCGCGTACGGGCACTTTAAAACATGCAGATTTTTTGGCGGGAAAGCGACCTCGGGAAACACATAAGGTAGGGGACTGAAACTCTGTAGGGATATTCACTGCGGTTCTGTGTGCTAGCTGAAGATTTCAAATTCAGCCCTCAGGTATGTGTAGTACTGACGTAAGGGCGTATGAAAGTTTTAGCTGGAAAATTGCTAACTCGGGTACCAGGAAAGCTAAAAAGCTAAAATTTTTTTTGGGGGAATGTTCCCGATCCAAGTACAAATCAAATATTTCAAATTCAGCCCCAAGCTATGCGTGGTACTCACGTAAGGGCGCACAAAAGTTTCTGCGGGAAAATTACTAACTCGGGAACCAAAAAAGCTAGAAAACTGAAATTCTAGATTGTACTGAAATTCTAGAATGTTCCCTGTCCAAGTACAACTTAAGTATTTCAAATTCAACCTTGAGGCATGCGTGGTTTTTACGTACGGGCGCTTAAAAGTTTTGGCAAAAAAATTCCTCACTGAACAGCTAGGTTACTTTTGAAGGACGGCCGTTAAATGTAAGTTACACATTTATTTTATGCAAGAATTATGGTGATTTATGCTAGTGACCGC